GTTTGACTCCGGTTCGACTCCGACTCCGAAAAAATCTTGGTTTTTAACTCCGACTCCGACTCCGACTCCGGCGGAGTCGGAGTCGGAGTCATTTTTCGGAGTCTATTGCAGGTCTCTATCTTAGACACATATTTTTTAGATCTACAATAGCACATAAGGTGTGGATGTGATTCTTCTTTTCACTCACACACCCCGACTGTCGAAGTAGACATTTTATATAAAATAAAATACCATACTTACAAGTTATTAGTAGAAATTAGACATTATATTATCCTTTAAAAAAAAACCGTAAGCCAACAAGCGAATTTTAAAAAAAAAGTAATTTGTTGTTCTTTTGCTTTTATTATGTTGTTGAATGGTATAACAAATAATTATAAAGGTAATTGGTAGGTAAGATCATCTATTGTCATGTAACACGTATGAGAACAATTCAATGTACATTGACAAGTTCTTCGATTGTTATATAACACATTTATGCTTCACTTTCATTTTGGGCAATAATAGGAAGACTATATAAAAAAAACACTTCTTTTGTGTATTTCTCAAAATTGATTTTTTTCCGATAATGATCCCACTGTGGACAAATTATTTCTTAGTATACTTCATTCTAAAGAGCTGTGTTTTTTTTGTAAATGATAGATATATGCATAGTCCTTCAGATAAGGGAAAGAAATTTTCTAATTATTCTTCAATACTAGATAAATCCTAAGTTTTCCAGAAAACCATGCTTAGCATTTTTAGAATTTTTAAGTTTCGATAATCCGAGAAGTGAAACAGTAAACACTTAAAAAGTTTTCTTTCATCGGAACTGATAAAGAGTTCTTTTTCAAATGAAAGTGAGCACGAACTCTGTAGCTAGAAATATATTAATAAATAATTTCTATGTGTACAAGGAATGCTTTTGGCTTGGTCACTAGAAATCTCCTGAGCGGTAAATTATAAAGACGTAAAATTTTTCTTATTAATGCACTTCCATGAATCAAACATCGATGCAAAATTTCATCAATATCTCATGTGCTCTGTTAAGGTCAGATTTTTTTCAGAACGGGGAAGGGGTTGGTTATAGTGCGTATTTTCCGCATTGCAGACGGTTATGTGACTTTCCTACTCAGAAATAATTGGATATGACGCAGAAATATATTTTTCATCTTAAAGATCCGTGAGGGAAACCTTTGCTCTTATTTTTTCGAGAAAATGTTTTTTTTTTAATTCGTCTGTATCATGTGCCATTCGACGTGGTTTAATGCGCTGATTTCGAATATACTATTTTTGTCGATTGAGTATTTTTCCAAAGTCAGAAAAACATCTGAAAAACCTAGATTTCTTGGGAACTCACTGTACAGTCCATAAATGTTTCCTCTAACAAGAATTACAGACAGTATATAGAAGAATATTGGAAAACTTTGGAGGTTGAATGTGAGTGAATTGCTAATTTCATGGGACTAGTCGTTCGGATGATATTGTATAAAAAGAAACTTTTTTCTCAAAAATTAAGCGTAAAAACTAAAGAATATTTTTTATTATTGTATAGAGGTCGGTTTGAGATCCAGAACAATTCAATTTTATCAGATAGCAATATTCTCGGTGATGTCATGATTTTCAGACTCACTTTTGAGCAATTATCTTTTCAATTCCTTTGAAGACTGTAACAAAGTTATTTATACCATTAGATAGACTATGTCGAAGTATATTTCCTTACATTTAAACCTTGAAAAAGTGTAATTTTCCTTTTTAGCTAAATGTCCGCCAAGATGCATATTGCAGAGAGAGAGATGAAGTTTAGACTACCGCAAAATACACTTTTCACATTTTGTTTATCGTAATGACCAGAACCAGGTTCTATTTAGTGACATATCGCGTGAGAAAATTGAAGTAGTGAGTGATGCTCGTTAAGATTCAATTTCTTTCTCTTATACCTTAACTTTATATTAATCGAAAAACAAATTGTGTGTAATTGAGTTTCAAAAAATTTTTGTTTATCATACTCGTACTTCTGTTAGGTAATAATTATTTCCAATAATAATTCAGTTACGCAATACCAAATAGAATCTTTTCGCTCATAAAACATGACTTTCTAATTAGTTATTTAAATGAAAAAATAAACTATATAAAAAAACTTGATTATATATTCATTTTTATTCATTCGATCACCATATTTAAACGTATTACTTCTATATTTTCTTCAATATTTATTATTTACTATGGCATACTATCGTCTATCATATCTATTTGGTGCTTTTGCCGTCGTCATTGTTGTTTTATTACTTTTCCAATCTATCACTACGACTAGTGCTCGTCAGGAATGTGCACGTATGCCTGTTTGCGGAGGCTATCCAGTAGAGTGTCCTATTCAAGAAATATGTTGGGAAGTGCCTGATCCTCAACCTATTTGGATTAAAAAGAAACGTTATTTACGTCGACGTTCTTTACTTATCAAGAAGAACTGATTCGTCATGAACAAATTCTAATACTAAACATATCATAAAATCTAAATGCATGCCAGCTTTTTTTTCTAATGTGACTTTTGATCTTTCGTAAAATAAAAAAGAAACTCAGTTGGCATTCGCCTCTGACAGTACAAATCTTAAAATTCTCAAAATTTTTAATGTGCCATTTATGAATAGTAAAAGAAAATTGTAAAAAATATCGTAGCTTCTCAAAACAGACAACTTTCAAATATCATTTTTCTATTTGAAATTTTTTTTATTTATTTAATTCTTCTATTTAAATAATAAGTATGATTTTTATATATCGTCAGTACTATTTAATAGTTGTCGTTAAATATCTAAATATTAAATACCGAATGATTCAAATTACTTACGCATATTTTTTTCAATATTATACTACGTTCTTTGAAATTTTATTTCATAGAGTTTAGTTTACAACATATATTCAAAGTGATTACAATCATCTAAAATACACAAGTCTATCGTTTCGAAGTAGTTGAAAAGAAACGAAGACTGTTCTAATTAAAAATGAATTTCAAAGTAGTGATATTAGATGCAGATTTTGCCTTCATTTAGTCGCAATAATTTCCATCTCAACTCTTATCCTTAAATTCTTAATAGTAAGAAAACAAGCGTTGCAAAAACATCTATTTTGATTGCAACAGTCTTTTTAAACATTTAGAAAAACACTGCAAAAAGTTTATGTTCGAGTTAATTTATTTATTCTATCGATTCTTATTTTGAATTCAACAAGATTCTCCTATAAATCTTATGCAGATTGATTCTCACGTTATATTTTTATTGAACAATCATTTAAATGAAAAGCAAGTTTGTTCGAAACAAAAATATAAATTATCTTGATTGTTGTGAAGATTTTACAACTTGAACTCGATCATTTGAATGTTTTTCGTGAAATTGCTAGATAAATTATATCTTGTATGGCTTCATTAAAACATACTCAGTCGTGGTTCAGTGTACTAATATTCTTCGAATGAAACAGGCTCTCACAACAATCCGAGCACTTGATACTGGCTCAGTTTCACAAACATCATCAATTTGATCAATTTTCTCTTCAGTAATCTTTCAAAATTTTGTCGACTGGCTATTATACAAGTTTCATAAAAGCATTAAAAATTATCGCAATTACAGTTTACGTTTGACGTTTGTGCGTGAAATATGATTTCTATTTTTCTTGTTACAAAAAACATAGTATGCATGGTTTGAAGAAGTTAAAAGTTACTCACCATGTTTTCTCATGGTAAATCTTTAGGACACCCTATAGATTGTTATGCATTATCAATTTCTTTCAATCTTTCAGATATGCAAAAACTTACTGTGTTTCATTTTGGTGAATATTCAGATGTGTTAAATAAAAATTTGCCATGAAAAATATCAACATTTTGAATAGAAACTTTTACAATAAGTCGCTTTTTTTTTCAGTTTTGTACAACAAATTATCATTGGCGCTATTGATTTGAATGAATGCTTTGTTGCAAGATGAAGACATTTACTATCTTCTTCCTTTTCATTATATTTGTATTTTATTTGAGGTGACTTCTTCGCTCGATTGGCCGATTATCGCACCGCGCTCATCGTTTTTTTTCTCATTGTTAAGTTCAATTCAACTGACGTTGAAAATAAAGAGAGAGAGAGAGAGGAGCATTCTTCACATCATATTGGACACAGAGTGAACTACACAAGTAGCTATACCTTACATGTTTGAATGCAAATAATTATACACTCAGAAGTATGAAAGTACAAAACTATTCGCAGAGAAAAACTTCGTCTTTTGTTGATTCATTCTATT